GGAGCTGATGGGGCAGCAGAGAGGGGGGGGGATGGGGGCAGAGGGGATGGGATGAAGCAGCAAGAGAGAGGGTGGGAGGGGGCATTGGGGATGGGCGATGGGATGGGGCAGCAGAGAGGGTGGGATTGAGGCAGAGGGGATGGGATGGGGCAGCAGGAGAGGGTGTAGGAGGGGACATTGGGGATGGGATGTGGGGCATGGTTCTGGCTGGGCTCAGACCCATCAGGCCAGGCGTTCTCAGGCACGTGGACCAGGCTGGGACTATGCCAAGCTGCACCCATGCCTGGCCCCATGGCAGGCTCGGCAGAGCCCACAACCCCATTGCCCCTCTCTTCCCCTGAAGGCCTTGAACAGCCATTAATCAGTTAACAATGGACGCGGTCGTCATTAGGTTTCAGAGTTAACAGGACCAGGTCTCTCTGAGCTCCTATATGGGGCTGTGCAGACTCCAGGAAAGTGCAGCATGGGTCGCACACCACACTGGCAAGGGATCTTTGCAGCCAGAAGGACCCAGATTAGGTTATTTTAAATGGAAGTTGAGATCCTTCAGCACAAGATGCAGCCATCGGGGAGTCGGCACTGGAGGGACTTTACAAACCATCAGCTCTTCAGTTCCCCATTGGCCTGGACAGCCTGGCATTGCCGGGGCAGCTGGCCCATTTGCAACACCTCTGAGCAGGGCCGGCTTTAGGCCGATTCAGCCGATTCAGCCGTCGGTCCGTTGGCATTCCCACTGGCACGGATGGTGATGGCACAGTCATTCTGTGGGCATTTCCACTGCCACGGCTGGTGCTGGCACGGTCAGTCCACTGGCACTTCTACTGGCATGGCTGGTACTGGCAGGGTCAGTCCATTGGCATTCCCACTGGCACGGCTGGTGCTGGTACAGTCTGTCCGTTGGTATTCCCACTGGCACGGCTGGTGCTGGCATAGCCATTCTGTCCACAGCATCACCGGAATTGCTGGTATGTCAGAGAGCAGGAGACTGGGACGTGGAGTGTGGCACCAGCGGGGCACGGTGGCGGGGACGGGCGCCCCGAACTGTGTTTGGCCAGCGGCTGCCCTTCATTGCAGGAACTGCTACGTGCAACCACGGATGAGCTCCTGATAGCGGCACCACAGCGCCCCCTGGTGAGTTCCCAGGGAACTCGAACTTGCCTCCTGGAATGGCAGCAGCACCTGTACCCAGGACTCCCCCTGCTTGTCACCACACCCCAACACAAGATGTATTTAGTGCAGAAGTCCCCAAGTGATATCTAGGGCGCTGGGTTGGATTGGGGCACTGGCTCACCTGGGGCACTGGCTAGCCTGGAGTGCCAACTCCCCCATGTTCCCAGCTGCTGAGTTGCACTGGAAGAAGCTAAAGCACTGAGCTCCTATGGGGTTTGGGTATGGAGTGGCAAAGAGGAGCGGTGTAGGGCTGGGGACGGGGTCAGTGGCTGGGTTAGGATTAGACGGACGTGTATGTCGTGGGCTATTTTCCAAACATTTCCGTGGAAAGCAGGTGTAGTCTGTGAAACGCTCCGTTCTTGTGAGGTTTTTGCCACCTCGGATGAATCTGGAGAAGGATCCTTCCAGCGTGACTCAGAACCAGAGCCTGGATCAGCCCCCCTCTCCCTAGAATCCAAAGGGCCAAGGCTCTGGATTTGGGTCATTGCGGGCTCACTGGGGGGCTGGGGCCTGGCCCTGCCCCTTCTGAGTTGGGCTGCCTCACCCTGACTGAGCACACCCAGACACAGACAGCACGAATGCCAGGCACCCACTGAGGGCATTGACGTCCTGGAGGGAGCGGTGCTGTGCCAGCAGGGGTTCATTTCTATAAAGGAGAGGGAGGTGATCCCTGCCCTGGGGCTGATGCTAGGGGCAGCTGCCTGCCTCCCAGACAGCCTATTCTGTGGTTGGTAAATTGCGACAAGAGCTTTATTGCTGGAGACTCAAGTCATCGGCTTATCCATGGGGCAGGGAGAGCACAAGCTAGGACCCAGGTAGCCCCTCAGTGCCAACTGGCTGAGGGCACACCATGGCATAACTCCCACGCATTGCCCCAACACACTGTTAGCATAACCTGCATCTGAAAGGTGCCATGTGAGGAGTCATATGCAAACCAGAGACATGCTGGCAGTAATGTCATTGTGTGATATGTGTATGGGCCGTGTATGAAGAAATACAGATGGTGCCGAAAATATGTTCTGAAAATGTGTTTGGCAAGCAGCCCAGCCTGTCCTAGCCAAAGGAAGGGGGCTTCACCTCTTGGCTTGGGCTTCAGTGTAGGCTGAGCAAGGGAAGGCCAGAAACAATGGAAATACATTTACATATAAGGTAAAAAAGCCATCACCCTAGCCAGTCGGGGAGATGAGCACTTAACAGTCATGATGGGGAGGAGGCTGCATCCCGGGAAGCCCTCCTGGCTCTTGGAACAGAGACAACAGCCTTTGGGAAATAGAAGCAGGAACAGAAAGTCATTTGGGCATCCAGCCAGAGCTCTTGAAATCTGAGACAGGTGGATCCGTCAGCTGAGGGGCTGACATCCCTGGGAACTGACTTGAGGTGAGAAAGCTGTTTAGACAGAGCATAACTTGCTGAAGTTAAGTTTTAGGCACTACACAGCATGTTTGGTTTGTAACCTTTCCTGTCACTTTCAGTCTGACTTGAAATCACTTAAGCCTCTGTTCTTTGGTCATAAATTAATTCCTGTTTTATTACAAACCATCTCAGTGCTGTGCATTAAAGCGAAGTGTGAGTCTTCAGCTAACCTGACTAGCTGGCGTGGGCTCTGTGGAGGTAGCGAATGTAACAACTTCTGTGAGAGTCACAGTGAGAGGCACTGCATACTGCAGGGAGCCATCTCTGGGGAACATGACTGGTACCTGCAAGGCAAGGCTTGGACTGGCAGAGCCCTGGAGCGTTTGCTGGCAAGGCCGACAGGCTGGTATGACCCACAGCTTAGCAGCATGGTAACACTGTGGCTTGCAGCTCTGGGTGACCTGAGCAAGAGGTCAAAGAAGCACACATAAAAACACATGCATGCACACACACAACACACTGAAAACCTGTGTGCACAGGTACACACACTGCACACTGAAAACACATGCACGTGCACACATGTTGCACACCCACTGCTCCTTGCCAGAGGAGGGCCCCCCTCTTATTCTCCCCTCCTTGCTGTCCTGACAGTGCCACAAACACTGGAAATATATTTATATATAAGGGGAAAAAGCCATCAACCTGGCCTGTCGGGGAGATGAGCACTTAACAATCCTGATGGGGAATGGCACATGTCATCCCAGCCAGTGACTTGGCATAAGATTGTCATGGTTCCTGGTGCCTGCTGAACTGGGGTCACATTCAAGCCAGTGACCAAGAGACTATCGAGTCTCCTGTCTGAGGGATTGCAATCCTGAAGGGCTGGGGACAAGAGTCTGAGCCAGGATTTCTGGGTTCAGTTCATTATTTAATCCAACCTGCCCGGATGGGTGACCATAGGCAAGTCACATCCCCCCTCTGTCCCTCAGTTTCCCCGCCTCAGTCACAGTGGGGATGGGAGGGTAATGAGGGGGCCCTTGAGGAGCACTTTGCTCTGCTCAGCCGGGTGATGATGTTGGGACTCTCAAATGGAAGCCAGGCTGCAGTGACACTGAATCATGTTCCCATGACCAGCTTTATTGGAGGGGGATTTTCAGTACAGGAGCAGAGCAGCACATTGTAACTCCTGGGGCTAGCGAAGCCCCCCTGACAGAATAGCCTTCACTGAGCCACCCTCCTGGGAACAGGCCACTGCAGCCTGCTCCCTGGGCAGTCTGAAGGCATGGTCCTGGTCCTGGTGGGATGTGTCCTGAACTGGGTCATTACCTGGAACACGACCCATGGCCAGGAGTTCTCACTGCAAAAGCAAAGAGAGAAAACATGGGTTTGACCCCAGAGTGTCCAGGAAATGCCCGATTCCTTGTAGCCTCCCACACCCCAACACACTGAGCTCCGGAGAGCCTGCCCAGGGCATGAACAAGGCCAAAAGAGCCCGCTCCCCGGAACTGCCCAGGGCAGCTGGAGCATGCCATTTCACCATCCCCAGGGTCAGGTGGCAATGAGCAAATCTCAGCTTCCAGGTAGAAAGCCCTGGGGATTGGAGAGAAAAGTTGGAAACTGTGACTCCGAACAGCTCAGGAACCATAAGGTGCGGAGCCAGAACCCAGCAGTGATCAGCTAGAGACATCTCATGCTGTCTGAGCCAGTCTCATGACTTTGGGGGCTGGACTCCCCTGTAGACTGCAGGGGAGCAATCCCTGATGGGAGCCCTTGCTGCTGGGGGGGAGGGAGGACAAGACGGGCCACTGGCTTGGAAGCCTTCAAAGCATCTTCACACTCCCACAGCCCCATTAGCAGAGTGCCCCCTAGTGGAGAGGGAATGCTGGGGAGCATGCGGGAGAGGTCTCACCTTGAAGCCCTGCCATGTTTGGATCTCCCGGTAGAGTATGTTCCCCGGGCATGCAGTGTGCACCATCTGCCGGTGCCCATGCACTGTGTAGTTGGCCTGGAGCTTGGCGCCCTTCACCGCGCACGGCAGGAAGTTGTCACGCACCAGCATGAGGGCAAATGCTTCCGGCAGCGTATCCATGTAGTCCCCGATGAAACTCACGCCGTAGCCTTTACTGTTGTAGCCACGGGTGTGAGCGCCAACCCAGTGCCAACCCCGGCCCTGGTACATGTATCCGTCTGATCCGACCACGAAGCTGCAGCAGGGCAAAAGCAGACAGAAGCTGAGAAGGAGACAGATCCCGTTTCCCTTGCAGTTTGGATCTGGGCTTTCAGCCCACTAGAGAGACGTGGGTTGGCTGCCAAACAGGGGTGCCAGTCCAACCCAGGGAGGGTGGATGGGGTTCCCCATGCCCTCCTGGGTGCCCACAGGGATAGAGGAAGGCAGCTTTAATTTGCAGCCAGGCCTTTATAGGGGTTTGCACAGATTCATTTTACCAAGCTGTGCTCCCTCCTGGCCTTTTTTCAGGTGGCACTGGCCTGCTGCCTTGCAAATGTCACCTACATCATTCCCTTCAGCAGGGCTCTCCCGGCACTTGGGACTGAATGGCTCTCTGGGGTGGTGCCCATGAGACCAGAGCAGGTCTGGCTGTCTGCATGAGCTTGGCAGTCCCTGGGGACAGAGCCCTGAACCGGGCATGTCCCTGCCCTCGGGGCATCAGGATTCATAGCATTTAAGACCGTAGGGGACCTGTATAAGCCAGGCCAGAGAATTTCACCACTTACTCCCGCCTGGAGCCCAGTAACTTGTGTTTGGTTAAAGCATCTGTCAGCCAGGCCCCCAGCCTGGCTTTGGAGCCATCGAGAGATGGAGATCCACCACTTTCCCTAGGAGTTTGTGCCAGTGGTTCATCCCCATCCCTGGTAAACACTTGTGCCTGATTTCTAGTTTGAATTTGTCTGGCTTTAGCTTCCAGCCACTGTGTCTCGTTGTGCCATTCTCTGCTACAGCCTGGCAGTACCTGGTGTTCTCTGCCCAGGCAGGACCTTATACACCGTCAGCAAGTCACTGCTCTATCTTCTTTGTGATAAACTAAACCGATTGAGCTCTTCAAGTGTCTCGCTGTCAGGCACATTCTCCAGCCCGCATGTCATTTCTGTGGCACTTTCCTGCACCTTCTCCAATTTTCCCACATCCTTTTAAACCCGTGGACACCTGAAGGGGGCGCTGTATGACAGTGTTGGTCTCCCCAATGCTGTAGCCAGAGGGAAAACCGCCCTCCGCACCTGCTCTCAGCTCCCCTGTTTACACATCGAAGGGTCGCATCCACACCATTTTTTGTGCCACAACATTCCACTGGGGAGCTCCTGTTGAGTTGTTTGTCCCCTATGACTCCAAAATGCTTTTTGGCCCCTGCTTTCCAGGATACAGGCCCCCACACTGTAGATGTGACCTTGGGACTAGACTGAAGACCTTTGATGCGACTGTATTCCAATGCATTTTTTTTGAATGGACCCAGGTTTCCAAGCAAACTAGATCGTTCTGTATGACTGCTCTGTCTTCATCATTATTTCCCACCCTGCTAAGCTTTTATCAGCAGCAATTTTTTATTTACTTCTGGATCATTGATGAAAACGCTGAATAGCGCCAGGCCCAGAACCAATCCCTGTGAAGCCCCCTTGAGACATTGCCATTTAATGATGATTCCCCATTAACAACTAGTTTTTGAGCTCTGTCATTTAGCCAGTGCCTGATCCATTTAACATGTGCTCTATTGACAGTGTACAGTGCTGATTTTGTCATCAGAATGCCGTGTGGTACTAAGCAAAATGCCTTTCAAAAATCTATTACATCTACATAGTTACCTTTGTCAACTGAACTTGTAAGATGAAATCCGGTTTGTTTGACAAGACCTATTTTCGATATAACTGTGTTGACTGGCATTAATTATATTCCTATTGTTTAATTTTTTATCAAATAAATCCTGTATCAGGTTTTTCCTTAGTTTGCCTGAGGATGATGTCGGGCTAACAGGCCCACAGTTACCCAGATCACTCTGTTTACCCTTTTTTGAATATTGGCACAACATTAGCACTCTTCTGGAATTTCCTCAATATCCCATAATTTATTAAAAATGAACATCATTGGGCTGGAGATCTCCTCAGCCAACTCTTTTAGGATTCTTGGATGCAAATGATCAGGGTCTACTAATTTAAAATGTTTACCCTAGTAGCTGTTGCCTAAAATCCTTCTTCATCATCCTCATGTGATTCAAGATCATCCTGCTTCTTTTGAAATACAGACAGAAATATTTATTTAATACTTCTGCCTTATTTGCATCATTATGAACAATTTTACCACCCCCGTCTAGTGATGGGCCTATGTTATTGGGATTTTTTTATTCCTAATATAGTTTAAAAACTCCTTATTGTCCTTAGCCCTGCCAGCCATGTATTTTTCTCTGGTGTCTTTAGCTTCCCCTATCAATTTCCTACCTTTCATAATTTCTAATTTATATTGATTGCCATCCATTTCTTTTTTCTGTTTTTTATATGTTGCTTTTTTATTTCTAATTGTTGCTAGGATGGGCTTTTAGCCTCAGTCACCCTCTTTCTGGATTGTGGATTCATGCTTCTCCCAATTTTCATTCACATTTTTTTCTGTCCAAATGTTTCCTCCCCATCAGTTTGGCTCATCCTCTCCCTCAGTTTGGGGAGGCTACTCCTGTCGAATCATCAAGACTGTATATTGCAGTGAGGCAGGGGCAGCTGCTGGGGTCAGAATCCTGCCTCAGGGCCTGTCCTGTGCTCTCATGGGGGAGGGGAGGGGCTGTGTTTGAGCCATAGGAGGCTAGTGGCCTTTGTGGATAGGGTGACCAGATAGCAAGTGTGAAAAATCGGGACGGGGTGGGGGGTAATAGGTGCCTATGTAAGAAAAAGCTCCAAAAATCAGGACTGTCCCTATAAAATCGGGACATCTGGTCACCCTATTTGTGGAGCAGAGGGTGGCTCTAAGGTGGGGACGGGCATCCAGACTGGCGTTTGCTCCGGGCTCATCTCTAGAAGCATGTAGCCCCGTTAGTGTAGCATGTCCCTGGCTGGTGAGGGGAGAGAAATAAGCACCTACCCAGGTAGGCCCCCGTGAGCTCCTGCACTGCCCGGCTCGCAGCGGCCAGCAGGTCCCCGTCCCCAACCCCGCTAAGCAGGGGCGCCATCCAGGGCAGCGCCCGGAGCAGCTGGAGGGAGCGCACCACCTGCTCCTCCAGCTGCCCGGCCTCCGTGAGCTGCACAAAGTTCTGGCGCCTGAAGTTGCTTCTGGCCTGGCCATCCCCGGCCAGGCCATCCCCAGCGTAGTACTCTCTCAGCAGGGGGCTCAGCGGGGCCACGGGCATGCCTTGCCCTGCTAGGTGTGCCCCCAGGATCACCCCGTCCAGCGCCCCATTGATGAAGGCATCAGTGAGGTTTGAGGGGCGGCCCAGGAGGGTGAAATTTTGGGGCTCGGACACGCTGTCCCAGCAGCCATTCGGCCCCATGAGCACCTGGCTCTT